TATTTATTTGATATTTTTAAATATATATTTTTCTAAAGGCAACAAAATGTAGCGACTGTGGCGCCATCTATGTTTGCTGGTCTAGCAGTCGCTGGAAGGAAATCAAGCTAATAAAGCTTTTACTATGAGCTTGAGCTTTAGGATGTGAAAGCAGGCATTCAAGTTCGATTGTAACTTAAAAGCTGTGCAGCTTTAAGCTTCTTCGAAAAATAAATAAGGGCGCAGAGTGAGCTTTACCGAGCGCCGCAACCCCTAAATATGAAAGTTTTTGTAGCGTTTTCTAAGTGACAACTGTAAACTTCTAAATCTCTGTAGCTTTTAGCCTACCCTTATTCTAGCCAACCCCTTGCTTAAAAAGAATTCAACACTCATACCTTTGTTAAATTTTTTTGTTTGTTTATTTGTTAGATTTTTTTTATATAACTTCGTTTTGTTTGTACAATTATCTAATATGTTCATCATTGTTTATAATATCAATAAATTATTGTAGAATCGTGTATAAAACTTTTTACAAGGATAGTCTATAACATTGGAGTACACAATATAAACAGAGTAATATCAATGGAATACATCATATTCATATATATGTATATACATATACGTATGCACATGTATGTATATATACAGCCATATATATGTAATGTTTGAGCGATGAAGCACAACATGGCGTATAATGAATTTCATAAATTCGTTCAGGAATCATAATACCTCGATTTTCGTTCTCGTTGCAAATCGCATGCATGACTACTCCTACAGTCTATCCTAAACAAAAACAAAAACCGAATCGAACTTAGAGCAAAAAAATGTATATATAATAAATATGTGTGTATATATTCTCTATATATGTATATGTATATATATATGTAGTAGTATAACCATTTGAACGAAGCAACAAAGAAAACGAAACGATGCGCATGGCWGAGGAAATTGGGCAGGGCTCGTTATAAATATATTATTGTGTTGCTTACGCCTACGCCTCGATCCGAAATTCTTAATTCTTAATTCCTAGTGCTTAGTTTGTAGTTCTTCTGTTTGTTCGTTTGCCTGTTGCCCAAATGTGTATCTAAACGGTTTTCGATTGAGATCTATGGTCCAATTAAGAGTCCTTTTGCAGCAAGGACTCGAACTGAAAGGCATTTGTGGATCTGCTCGGAAAGCTGTGGGACTGTTTAAGTGAATGGTGCTGAATGCTGAACGCTGAATGCCAGAACGGTTGTCCTTAGGTGGTTAATTGCATTTCTTATACTCGTTGCCTAATCTTAGCCTAATCGTGTCTGCCCAGCACGCCATAGACGATGCGACGACGCGCCAGCAGCTCGGCTCGCATTGCGTCCGTATAGGGATCGAAGGACAGGAGGCGCTTCTTCCTGCGAAAGATGCCCTCCTTGCGCACCAAGGCGCAGCGCAGCAGCTGCTCGTTGACAGGATACTCGAGGAACTCGAGTATGCGGCGCAGCTCGCGCTCCGTATGCTGGACCAGATCATCGTAGAATACAACCTTGATGCTGCCCGTGAAATTGCGCGCCCAGCTAAGATTCATGAGCTCCCAACCTTTGAGCTTGTTGCTCACAAACTGTTGCCAATCTGTTGAAAGGGAGAAACGAATAGATGCACAAATATTAGAAGACTAGAATATGTCTAACAAGTTAAACAAGTAAGAAAGCTCTAGTCGAGACTGCTCGACTACGAGATCCCCTGAACCCTTGGAGTGCTAGCTATTTCAATAATTTTTCGCGTCTTTCAGCTTACACAAGAAACACACACACATACACAAACACATACACA